CTTTAGTCATAGTGATGGCTAAGAACTTTTTTATAAAAATAAGAATATGAGAGTTGAAATCTATATTACTAAATAAAATCATAATTAGTTCTCATTTTGTGAATAAGATTTAAAGTAAAGCAAAGGAGTGCTTTAGCTTTCTCATATGTGATTAGCTAACGATAAGTTCTCTCAACAGTAAAACATGGATTATGAGGGGATTTTTCCCCATGGCTATAACGAATAGTATTTATGCTTATAATGATGGTATGAGTCCATTAATGACATATCTAAAATGGATGCAAAGTGTATCTTCCTACTTTTTTACCTTGATTAGAAGAGTTCAAAATGTTTCCCTCTCCTGATGTTTCATATAACGTTGATGAAATTTAGAAACTTAAGAATGTAGTATATATTCAGTCTTAAATAAGTGACTTTAGCTTGTTTTAAAAAACTTTTTATTATGCCTACCTCAATTAGTCCTCTCTTTTTCTTTAGTGCAATTTTATTGTGCATAATTCTTTTCCTTGATTATAGATGATATAGTAATCATAGGTGTGATTTTTCTAGTATTATAGTTTTGAAGTCTAAATTAACTTCTTGCTTAAATGAATTCTTTGTCCATTTTATGTTTTTTTTTTATTTATTTTGGTACTAAAACAGAACATTCTCTTAAAGTTTTACAACGCTAAAGTATTATGAAAATATAAATATAAAAGTTTAAGGGTTAGATATATAAATAGCTAAGGATTGCATATTATGTATGTAAAGCTCTCTTTTTGGTGGATTACCTTTGACTAATTCCATATTCCTAAAGATAAATTTTCACATGATGAAAGAAAATGCTTCAAGCTTTAAAATGAAGATTCCAAAACAAATTAACTTGTTTGATTGTGTTGTTAATCCTAAATATCTCAAGGACGATGAGCTCGACAATTATAATATTAAAAATGCTTTATGACTGAATTTTGAAAATGTCTCCTTAACATCATTTGTAATTTTTTATTACATACACAGCACAAAATTCTTATGTATTTACATGTTTTTTATTACATGCACAGCACAAAATTCTTATGGATTTACATATCTCACGCATGAAATTTCATATTTAATAAAAAATGGTAAAAGTGCTAATTTTGATGTGATGATTTGAGTGCTTTGAGTGTAAATATGAAATCTTAGGTGGGAGAAACGTAAATACATCAGAATTGTGTGCTAGGCATGTAAATGCCTCACTTGGGTTTATTTCTTATACTTAGTGCTGTCAAAACGGCTCGTTGTTCGCGAACAGCTCGTGTTCGGCGCGTTCGCTAAGAAGTTAACGAGCCGAACACGAACAAAGTTTTGTTTGTTTCTGTTCGGCTCGTTTTGGGTAGTATTTTAAAAATTTTAATTGACTACAACGCTACAATGATTTATAATCAATTAAATGTATTAATTAAGAAAATTGAATAAAAAGTATTAAATTAGATTCAAATAATGCATTAATATAAACAATAATTTTTAAATCTTGCCCAATTCATAACATCTTATGGCTACGTGATTAGTGTTGTCAAAACGATTCTTTATCGGTGAACGGTTTGTGTTCGGCTCGCTAAGCAAATGAGTCGAACACGAACACACTTTTTGAGCTTGAAATATAAACAAGTCGAACACGAACATGAGCTGAGCCTGAGCTCACCTGTTCGGCTCGTTTACAGCCCTACTCATACTGCTTCACATAACTTGCCAAGCTAATAATCTTAATGATGATATTTCATCATTTTTCTTTTCTAATGAAATCACCTAACAGAATGAGTTAAGTATTTATGAGAAGGCAGCCTAACAAGCCACACTAACCAGCATGAAACCGTTGATCAATTTCGGCACATCACATCTGAAGTAGGTATTCAACATAAATTATTCATCAATATTCAAAGCTGTGAACCCCAAATTCGTCTCAATTTATTCAAAGCAGGCAGTACGGCGGTACCTGTCTCTGGAGAAAATATCGTTCACACTGCTCTGATTTATAACCCTAATTAAAATGGAATTTGTATCAGGGCTGTCAAAAAAAACTCGTTGTTTGCAAACAGTTGGTATTTAGTTTGTTAATGAGTTCGTATTCGATTCGTTCGAAGAGTAAATGAGACGAACGTGAACAATTTTTTTTCGTTCGGTTAGTTAAACGAATCAAACACGAACAGTGATGCAATCATTCGTGTTCAAATCATTATTGTTCAAAATATAAAATAATTTAAAATAATTATATATAAAAAATTTAT